ACAGGATCACTATCAAGTATGTATAAAGAATTCAATTCCTTATAGTATTTTATTGAAAGAGATGTTTCTGTTAAAATATGTATCCGAACTGTGAATTAATGAATCATCAATATTGTCTTTATTAGAATAATCAGCATCATCAGCCTCGTCATCATCATCATCATCACTCACCGAAAAGATCAAAGAAACATGATCAACAAAAGTCAAATCAAGAATCAATACAATATATCGATTCATCAAATCAACAATCAATCATAAACTTCGATGACTTCAATATGAATCATTTAGCAAACACAATACCTGATGCTCACTACGAAGAACACCAACATACACAACACATGAATAATAATGTTCGAAAGAAGCATAAAAAAAAAGTCAAACGAAAAAATATCGAGATCAACGATGATTCTATGCATCATTTGAACAAACCAATTTCGAGCTTTGATGAAAACGAAATAATTAATCAAGGTTATGCATATGAACAAGATGAAAATGTTGATGATACATTTAATCATGATGAGACTGAAAAACAACGAGTTCAAATACAACTTCCTATTGTCGAAGAAAATAAACAAGTTACCACTGAAGCTGAAAAGCTTGGAACAGATGAAGCTCCAATTATTGAGTATGCCGAAGAGCCATTATTACCTCTTGTCGATGCATGTGCTCCACTAATTGATATTCTTCACGATTTATCATCCTATGTTAATATGGCACTTGAAGAAACTCCCGAACAACCACCTGATGGACTAACAATTGATGAGAGTGCTGCCGTTCGGCTTTATACAATTGAATGGAAAGCACCACATCGAAGTCTCTATTCAATGCTTAATTATACATTGAAGAATTGCAGTCGTGAAGAACTTCGACCTTATTTTAGTTATATGAAACTATTCTTGACTGCCTTAGTCAAATTACCATGCTGTCCACCACTGACTGTGTGGAGAGGAGTAACTAAAAATTTAAGTGCCGATTTTCCACCTGGTACTCCAGTGACATGGTGGGCATTTTCATCAACCACAACCGAACTAACTGTACTTGAAAATAATATGTATTTGGGTACTACAGGTGGACGAACACTATTCTCTGTTGAAGTCATCAATGGACGAACAATTCGTGCTCATTCACATTTTGTTACTGAGGATGAAATTTTACTTCTACCCGGTACTCATATGATAGTTCAATCACAATTTAGTCCGGCAACTGATCTTTATATCATTCACTTAAAACAAGTCATACCAGATGAAATATTACTTCAGCCTCCTTTTGAAGGTACTTTGAATATGTTCGATCTTTGTTTTTTTTTTAGAAATAAACTCTGTTTTTTTGTTTCATTCTTAGGTGCATCTTTATATCCAAAAATTACGTGAGTTTCAGTTTATTACCATCAAACTATGATTTTAATTGATCTTTCTTTTGATCAAATGATCTAGGCGTCCATGGTATCGAAAGAAGCGATTTGTTATTCCATTAACTTTGTTGGTGACTGTATGCATCGTAGCAACTATTGTTGGTGCTATTCTTGGAACACGTGCAGCAAATAGAAAGCCACGTATGTATGCGTTTTATAATGAGCTTTAGTTCTTTTTCAAGTTAACATAAAAAAAAAACTTTCATTTCAATTTTAAGTTGAATAAACTTTGAGCTTAGAATATTCGAAAACTTTGCAAATGATCATAAAGTGGATATTCAACTCAGCATGGGAACTTTTCTTGGGAAGAATAAAAAAAAAACAATGTATTGTTGATTTGCAATTTCACTCTTCCTTTTCATTTCAACATATGTAGAATATTTCATGAACAAGTTAAGAATATATTCGATTTAAGATTTCCATTTTCTTGACATAAGCTTGCCAGTTCCAATTTTTTTCTTTATGATAGACATTGCCTCGGAATCATATTTCTGATTTTTTCAATTAGAAAAAAATTAAAGAAATGATCAAGTGTTTTATAGACATAGAGTTTGAACAACGAGAGATATTTTCCATTTCAATATTCTCTCTAATTTATCAATATTTTTCGAATATTTGATTGTCTTGTAGAAAAAAAAAACAAGCTACTCAAAGAATGAAGCTCGAAAGTAAATTATAAATTTGAATTTTTTTATTTTTCTAGCCTATGTGTTCACAAGTCCATATTCATCTGCGGCAACGTCTGACATAGGTAGTGTTCCAAGTTCTCTGGTGTATGGTCATTTCAACAGTGATAAATATATTGATTTAGCGATTTTGAACTTGGGAGATCAAAGCATTGATATATTGGTTGGTAATGCAAATGGTAGCTATCTGACGCCAGTATCAACTGATATTGGCACAGGTCCAGTATTTGTTGCTTTATGCGCTTTGGGTGATAACGCAACAAGCCATCTTATCGTAGTTAATAAAGATGATGGAACTGTCAGCGTGGTGAATATCAATGGTGATGGAACATTCGAACACCAGACAGATTCTACAGTTAGCAATGAACCAGTTTCTGTTGTGTGTGGAAATTTTGATAACAATTCTATTATTGATGTGGCAGTGTTAAATAACCTGGACAGCACTGTACTCATATTGTTGGATTTTCAAGGTGAAACAGTTACATATTACGAACAGTATGACAATACGTATTATGTTGGCACAAATCCAATCTCTATGATATCTGCTTATATTAATAATGATTTGAAATTGGATCTGGTAGTTGTCAATCAGGATGATAACAACATCATTGTGATGATTGGTGATGGACAGGGATCTTTTCAGGAATCAATGACCTATAATGTTGGGGAACAACCAACCTCTGTAGTATCGGGAGACTTTAATAATGATACAAAACTGGACTTGGCAGTATCTAATAGTGGAAACACTTTCATTAGTATTTTGTTGGGTGATGGAAATGGAAATTTCTCGACTCAAGTACCTTGTGAAGTTGGAAACGGTACAAATAGTGTGATAGTGGCAGATTTAAATAACGATGGTATTTTGGATTTGGTAGCGATTGTTTCGGATGCATCTAATATAAACGTACTATTGGGTAATCGTAATGGAGGTTTTCAAAGTGGAGTAAACTATCAAGTTGGCAATTATCCGACCACGGTGATAGCTGCTGATTTCAACAATGATAGCAGACCAGATCTTGCAATAACGAACATGAATGACAATACAATCAGCATACTAATAAATTATGGAAATGGAACATTTCAATCTCAAGTCCAGTATACTACTGAAACCGGACCAATATTTCTTATTTCAAGTGATTTTAACACTGATACAATTTCCGATCTGATAGTGGTTAACAATGGAGCAAACACTTTCATTTTAGTGATAGGTAATGGTGATGGCTTGTTTCGCGCTCGAATACCATTTAAACTTTCTAATAAATCAGTCGATATGGCAGCTGGTGATTTCAACAATGACAACAGAACAGATCTAGTGGTGGCTAATTCATATGATCAAAGTGTTAGTATATTACTGACCACTAGAGACAATATCTTAGAAAATGTAGGTATATATCGATCTGGAGTCTCGCCAATATTCGTGACTGTAGGCGATTTCAATGGTGATGATAAATTAGATATAGTAGTTGTCAATCAAAAAGACAACACTATTAGCGTCTTACGTGGTAATGGCAACGGTAGCTTTCAAAATCAAATTTCCTTTGCTACTGGTACACGACCAGTTTCTGCAGTGTCAGGTGATTTCAACAAAGATAAAAAAATGGATTTAGCAGTGACAAATATAGGTAGTCAAAATATTAGTGTTTTATTAGGATATGGAAATGGCTCCTTTCAATCTCAACGATTCTATAAGACTGGAAAAAGTCCAAGTTCTGTGTTAGTACTTGATTTAAACAGTGATCAAATTAATGATCTAGTAGTAGCCAATCAAGGTGAAATCACAGTCAGTGTTCTTATAGGCTATGGGAACGGAAGTTTTCAAGATCAAAAAAAATTTAATGCAAGTATAAATCCAGATCTTTTATTGTATGGTGATTTCAATAATGATAAAATATTGGACATAGGAGCAATCAGTTACCGTTCGAGTTCATTTAGTATGTTGATTAGTAGTGGAAATCTTTCTTTTCCTTATCAGAAAACGATTACTATTGTTACTTCTCCAACTGATGCAGTAACTCATGACTTTAATAATGATGGGAAAATAGATCTAGCAATGACTGGCAGAAAGGACACCTTACGTGTATATCTGTACCAAGACAATTAGTTATTCGCTAAATTCTCAGCTTATTAAATATTATCCAAATGTAAATGATAATATCTTCAAGCTCTCAATGAACTATGATTGTTTTATTGA